TGTTGTCACAGCTGTAGAATGAAGCTGGAGAAGGGTGCAACATACAAGGCATCCAGTGGATATTTTCTGAGTTAAAGGACAAAAGACATGTTTAAATGAATGAAAAGATATTGGAAAAAAATGCCTAAAAGTGACATAAAAGATTCATGCAAAGTTCACTCTGTAGTGATCTTAGAGGATTAGCTGACTCCTCTTTTTCATTCACTGTGCATGTGGTGCCGATGTCACCACAGTAAACAGGGATGACAGTTGGAGAACTCTTTGTAAGTCTTTGAAAAATAATATTGTTAATTATGAGAATTTCATGAAATGTGTTTTGATCATGTTCATCTCAGGTCCGTCAATACTGTAGATTGCAAGTTCTGAGATGGTTAAGATTGGTGATTACTTTTCTCCCACTAAAATGTGCACAGCATCTTCCACCACTGAAAGTTAGCCAGCAGGGAAGAAGTTTCCAGATCCATATAAGCTAGATTTTTCTATGTTCCATGGTTCAATATGGTATATTCAGTACTTGTACTTATGCATATTTGTCAACATTCTCAGTTAGACCAAAGGAAGCTTTCCATTCTTCAGAGCTTAACACTAGAAGAAGGAAGTCTATCTCAAATTCCCATGGGTCTGAGGTGTTGGTCCTTGATATGGCTGTGCCCAAGTCAACAATACACTCAGAAATTCATCCAATCTTTACACATTCAATGCAGGCTTCCTCATCTCTTCACACCTATATAACATGACTTCTTCAGTAAGTAAATACAGGGGTAAACATTTAAGAGAAACTTGCACAAACAAAGCACTACTACAAAAACATTGGCCCAGTTGAAAAGGGCAGGTCTTTAAAATAGCCTTACCATAGATCATGTTATCTATTAGATTATAAAATTTTCATGTGAAATTCAAGTTTAATTTTATAGTTATCCCAAACACACAGATTTTTTTCATAAATTATGAGTATTTGTTGAATGAGTAACTTATCCTTCACCAACTTGGTTTGCTCTTAAAAACAGTAATTTGCAACCACTTTAAAGTGATAAATTGCCATGGCCATAGTAGACTTGCTTTTAATCATTAAACTATGTCCTTGTCTAGTTAAGTAAAGAGGAATATTTTAAGTTTACAAATGCTTTTGATCCTGGAACACTAATATATCATTAAATTATTTACTAACCAAGGCCACATCACATCTTTGTCTTGAAACTCTTGAAAGATTTCTGGTTAATGGCCATTGAATTCATTGTCTCTGCACCTTTATCATTTTACTGAAATTATGTAGTGATGCTATCAATTCTCTGAAGAACACTGTAAGAAGTGAAGACCTTCAGTATGTTCATAAATATTTCATTTGATTTAAAATAACGAGCCAGGTTTGTTCTTTTTAATATATTAAGGTTTGTAGTTGATTTTTTTTAACTCTGGGGGCCCTCCAGCCAGCTCCCAAATAAATACACAGATACTTATTCTTACTTATGAATGCCTGGCATTAGCTTGGCTTATTTCTAGCCAGCTTTTCTAACTTAAATTATCCCATTTCTCTTTAACTACATTTGCCTCTGGGCTTTTTACCTTTCTTTATTCTATATGTCTTTCTTTCCTTCACACTCAGTGGCTGGCTGGGTGGCTGGATGGTTGGCCCCTGGCATCCTTCTCACCTTCTTCTTTTCTTGCTCCTTGATCACTTCCCTAGATTTCTCCTCTGATTTATTTTTTCTATCTGCCAGCCATGCCTGTTTCTCTCTCCTGCCTAGCTTTTGGTCATTCAGCTCTTTATTAGGCCAATCAGGTGTTTTAGGCAGACAAAGCAACACAGCTTTACAGAGTTAAACAAATGCAATATAAAAGAATGCAGCATATGTTTGCACCATTAAATAAATGTTCCACAGCATAAACTAATACGACACATCTTAAACTAATATTCCACAACAAAGGGTTTTTTTTATTAAATTAAATTACCAAATTTATGCAGACTAGAAAAGTACTCTGTCTTCTGTGATACAAAAAATGACAACATTTAATGGTACAGAGCCTTGGGCACTTCAGAGCTTCTGTGTTCAACTGGACCCTTTTAGAGCAGTGCCTATTTGTACTATTACTTCTTAGATTAATGGTCAGGGTGTTGATGAGCCCAGGGGTCCAGAAAAATACTGAGGTTCCATGTCATAGAGTATTGAGGTCCTCTATGGATATTTGAAGTATATAAATCCGAAATATTTGTATTGGTAGTGTTAGTTGTATTTCATTAATGGATATTAATTGATGAAGACAGAGATTTGTCATAAAGCAACTTCCTAGGTTTGTTTGTGTGTGTTTGTCACTTTATTTTTTCTTTATATTATGATTACATCATTACTGCCCTTCCTTTGCCTGTTGCCAACCCCTCCTATGTACCCTCCCTTACTTACGTTCATATTCATGGCATCTTTTTCTTTAATTTTTGAGATATTGTTGGTGTAAAAGTGGTGAGTGCATGTGTTCTTAAATATATAAGTACAACCAAATCAATCCATATAATGTTACATACATATATATATATATAAACACATTTCAGGGATGATTATTTGGTATTAGGTAACCAATTGTATACTCTTCCTTGAGGAAGAATATTTCTCCTGTTCTCAGCATTACTGTAGTTACTTGTAGCTCCTTGTCTAAGCTTGGGGTCTGGTGAACTTTTTGCCTTCCACATTAGCATGTTTATTGGTGTCTTACTTGTTAAGGTCACATTTAGGAAGCCATGTTTGTGAGACTTCACAGGTATAGCATCTGTGACATTTCTATGAGGCACAATTTCATAATAAATTTCCTGTTCATGTGGCTCTATTTCTGCCCCTTTCACAATGATATTTGAGCCTTTGGTGCAGGTGTTATGCTGTAGATATATCAATTGTAACTGAGCTCCATAATGTTATATTTTTGCCAAGTGAGCTTGTCTATAATGGTCTCCATCCTGTTACTTCTACTAATACTTAGTCACTTTCTTCTATGTTATTGGAATCATGAAGCACAAATCAATGCTCATTCCAGAGTCATGGTTTAAACCACTGTGAACTGAACGTAATCAAAGTTGCATGTTTTATTTTATATCTATATACATTGCATAAAGCTTTCTCCTAGGAAGATCAAGTTGCATCATTTTTGTGATTTTAACAGTTCACAATATTATTATTTGTTATTTTCAGTCTATCAGATATACATTGAATTGTTTGTACTTACCAAAACCTTCACACTATATCCAATTATTATGCAGCCTAGATTGTAGCTGAAGTTTTCCCTAGTCCTGCCCAGCCCCATGATCCTGCAGCCACTTATAAAATAATCCCTCAGAAGCTTATATTAATTAAAACTTCTCAGCCATTAGCTCAGGCCTACCAATGACTAGCTCTTACATTTAAACTCAGCCCATTTCTGTTAATCTATATGTCGCCACGTGTTCTGTGACTTTACCTGTGTGCTGCTTCATGCTGCTCCCTAGACAGTGGACTAGCGTCTACTGCCTCAGCCCTTCCTCTTCCCAGAATTCTCCTTGTCTCCTTATCCCACCTATACATCCTGCCTGGCTACTAGCCAATCAGCATTTTATTAAACCAGTGTACAAAAGTATTATTCCACAGCTCTAGATTACTTAAACTTTTTAATGAAATAATCTATAAGAGAAAATTCCAATATTCATTATATAATGGAAAATTATTATCCCTTATGAAAAGTGAATAATGAAATAATATGCAATATTCATCTAGACAGCTACTAACAGATAGTTAAATATATCTTTAGATATTTTTATTTATCATATAATTCAACATATGCTGAATGTATATTGTGTATCTGCGTAAGTCAAACTAATGTAGTCTGAAAATGATTTCAACTATTTCTTATGTACTCCCTAAGAAAAGACATTTTGTACAGAAGTTTCTGATAATTTTTTTCCTTTAATATTAGATTTATAATAGTGAGAATCAGACTAGAAATTCACTGGAAAAAGAGGGAGAAAGCTTCAAATCTGCTGTAATCAGGGTGTAAGGTACACACAGTTGGCTAGACTATATAATGTCTTATCCTCCCACCCACTTTGTTTTGAAACTTTTTTGTTTCAGTACCTGGTTTCCAAGCAGGTGTGTCTCCCAGCCAAGTGAAAAGATGTCTTTTTTTAAAATTTGAATTTTTTTTTATTCATTTTATGTACCAACCACAGGTTCCCCTGTTATCACTCCTCCCGCTCCCCTCCCAGCTTCCCCCACCAACCCATCCCTGATCCCCTCCTCCAAAAATTATGGCCTCCCATGGGGAGTCAGCAAAGTCTGGTGTATTCAGTTGAGGCAGGACCAACCCCCTCCCACTGCATCAAGGGTGAGCAAGGTGTCCCACCATAAGTAATGGGCTCAAAACACCAGCTCATGCACTAGGGGTAGAACCTGATCCCACTGCCAGGGGCCCCTTAAACAGACTGAGCTACACAACAGTCTCTCCCACATGCAGAGGGCCAAGTTCAGCCCCATGCAGGTTCCACAGCTGTTGGTTCAAAGTTGGTGAGTTCCTACAGGTTTGGTTCAGTTGTCTCTGTAGATTTCCCCATCATGATCTTGAACCCCTTCCTCATATAATCCCTCCTCCCTTTCTTTGACTGGGCTTCTGGGGCTTGGCCTGGTGCTTGGTTGTGGATCTCTGTATCTGTTTCCATTAATTACTGAATGAAGGCTCTATGATGACAGTTAGGGCATTCACCAATCTGATTACCGGGGTAGGCCAGTTCAGGTACCCTCTCTACTATTGCTAGTAGTCTAGGCTGGGGTCCTCTTTGTGGGTTCCTGGGAATTTCCCTAGCACCAGGTTTCTCCCTAACCCTATAATGTCTCCCTCTATTAAAATATCTCTTTTATTGCTCTCTCACTCTGTCCCTCTCCCAGTCTGACCATCCCATTCCCTTATGTTCTCATCCCCCATCCCTTCCCCTCTGTTGTCCCCCCTCACTCCCAGTTTACTCATGGAGGTCTCATCTGTTTCACCTTAAAAATGTGGAACATGTCACAAATTTGAGTGTGTCATCCTTGTGCAGAGGTCATGCTAATCTTCTCTGTATTATTCCAATTTTAGTATATGTGATGCTGAAGCAAGCACAGTGAAAAGATGTCTTATGTGAGCACATAGCCTGAAAACAAAACTGACTTTATAACACATATGAGAGCATAACAATGGGTTATGATTTTTATTTTTCACACATTTTTCTTGAAACATTCAGATTCAGATTTTATGTGAATCACTCTATTTTTGCAACTGCACCGTTTTGGTTTCACTTGTTCTGTCAGATGGTTCCAGTTCTTTGTGGAAGCCATCCGTGAATATAAGGAGTGACATTTTTCTAGCAATGCACTTCACATTGCAGTAACAAGCCTGGGCTTTTCTGTGGAATGACCCTGAAATGGGTACAGCTGGGAGTGATGAAGCTCTATCAAGGTGAATAAGTACTGTTTTATTAGATGAAGCAAATAATTTGCTCTGTCAATCTTTTTTTTTCTTTTTTTGCTTCAGTGATAATGGAGACTTTTAGAAACATGGATAGTCTCTCACATCCCATATCTGATAAATATCCATTTGATACATCTACACAGACACACCGGATTTTCTCCTGTTGGCTTATCCTCCTCCAGAAGAATCTGAAATTCAAATTCTTCACATTATACCTGGATTGTATCCCTTGTGGGATCTGCCAATGCATTTTTGAGTTTTAGTTCAATGTAAAAGGAGTTGATATTCATAAAAGCAGATGGAGTAATATAATGACTATTCTGCTTTTATTCTTCTTCAGAGTGGCTAAGGCTGTGGATTTTGGCATAATTTCTGGACCCAATTCTCAGTTTTATCTTTGCCTACTGACATGCTGATATCAATTCCTAGCCACTAGTCACTTTCCATTCCTTTCAATAGCATAATATATAAATTACTGAAATCAATATTGTTTAATTTTCAGAGTATGAACTTGCTTTTTTGTACCCTCTAATGCTGTGAATTTACAGTTACTGTAATGTTTATCCTGTAAAAACTGTGTGATGCCTTGTGTTTCTCATGTAAAAGTATCTCAAGTCTTATTAAGCTTCTCTTATTCAAAAGAATATTAAAAGGGAAGCTGGTTCCACTGCTTGAATGTGACCAAAAAACTTCTAATCTTTCTGTCAAGAAACTGTGTGTGAAGGCTTATGGTAATGCATAAGTGAATTCATAAGTTAATGAGTAAGTGAATTCATATAAGTAGAATAAATCTAATTCATTCTTATACTTATTAATCAGGATTCCTTTTTTCAAAAAATACTAGTTAGCTGCAAAAGCTAATAATTTAGAACGCTATAATCCTGATTAAGATTACTTTGCTTTATCACTCTTCAATAATTGCAACTACTTTTCTTATAAAACTGATGTTATATGTGATACTACATGATGATTATTGATGCATATGTTTATTTGTGATTTGTATACTTACATAAATTATTATGATGAATTAGTGGGAAAAAGTGCTTGTACAATATACAATAGATTTATAGATACTTCAATATCTTTCAGAAAAAAATAGTTCAATAATAAACAGGAATGTATAAAATATAAAGATATGTGGTTCAATTGTGTTGCTCCCAACCATATGTAACCACTGAATTTCAAATATAAATGAACTTTATAATGCAAACAATAGTAAAATGGAATCTCCTGCACTTTTTGAAATTGCCTTAAAATTTCAATTCCTTCAAATATTAGTTGTGTACCATGTATTCAGTAGCTACATGTAGCTTGTAGCTATCAGGCTGGATGATAGAGAAAGTCCTATTGATCAATACTAGTCTTTAATATCAGATAGGTTTGACATAATGTTCTAGTTCCAATTCCATTATCTGGATGATTTTTCAAGAATTTTTTTTATGAAATCTGTTAAGTTCCATGTCATGGTGATCTAGAATTTTGAGATTGAATTAAGATCTCTAAGCTCTGGGTCATCTTTAGGTAGTTGTACAAAGACAATCAAGCAATTTAAAAACAAAAATGAGGAAAGCTCCAAAGATATGGCATCAAAAATCCAAATGATTTAATTATTTCTCTATAGTAACTCTTCATCTGCTACATATTCTATTTCAAGAAATCCTCCTCCACTCCTAGCAGAATACAGGCTTCTGCTTCTCATATTGATCCAATGAACACTCAAAAGGTCTTTCCATCTTTGCTGCCATTCTCTATTCATGCACTGTTTTCTGTGGTCTGAGAGAATGATGCATGTGAGGAATGAAAGGACCTGGCTTCAGTGAATATTAGGAATCAGAAGTTTTTTATCACATAATAAGTAGAAGCTGTAATTTAAATCCAGGTCTTTGTTATAGTGGTTTTCAACAAAACCTAAGAAGCCAACACCGGCATCCTGTGTTTGATCCAAGAGCCAGACAAAGAATGGAATAGCATCTGTATGATATTTGCTTGGGAATCAAGGGGAGTAATTAAAAAGATATCAGCTCATCACCTCTTCAAGTGTATATCTAATAGTAGAAACTCATTATTAATTGGTTCTTTTTCAGTTCCTTTTATTAATTAGTAATAAGAATAGAGAAGAAAGAATTTTTTACTCCTCATTATCCAAGGGAGACTTTGCATTAAGTATAAGAGCTTACTTTTTATGTCTTCTTGGCTTCTCTCTCTTTTTTTTTTCTGGATGGTTTTTCATCTAATAAAAGATTACCTTTTTGCAAAAATATCATAGTTTACGAAATGATTTGTCTTCATTAAGTCTTTCTACCTTATTTACTTTAATAGTTCTCAAAAGCCATGATTTCCTTTTTGTTAGAATGTCTTAAGTCCAATTAAAGAGATATTGGCTATGACTGTGGCCTTCACTCTTAGGGGTCATTGTTGTGGTTCATAGGTGTCATAGCTAGATAGGACTGTTGGAAGTTTGAATGGCTCTTTTAGAAGCTTGAATGGCTCATCCTTGTGGTTATATATTGTATACCCTAATAAGATTTGCCTGAAGATCAGAGAAGAGAACAAGCCACTAGATTGAACACAGATGCCAGACAGTGGTGGCACACACCTTTAATCCTAGCACTCAAAAGGCAGAGATCTGTCTGGATCTCTGTGAGTTCAAAGCCACCCTGGACTGCACGAGATTGATTCAGTCTAGGAGAGAAACAGAGCCAGGCAGTGGTGGCACACATCTTTAATTCTGGTACTTTGGAGTCACATGCCTTTAATCCCAGCACTTGAGATCTCATGCCTTTGTTACCAGTATTTGGGAAGCACATATGCCATTAATCCCAGTACTAGAAAGGAAATGATATGGCTGGACAGAGAAAAGTATATAAGACATGAGGAGACAGGAACTAAAACCCCCTTTTGGCTGGACTCCTTTTGACTGAAGACTCAGAGACATTCAGTCAGATGATTTGTGGAGTTGTTGAGGTGAGAAGTTGCTATAGATTGTTCCTTTGTCTCTCTGATCTTTCAACATTTACCCCAAGATCTGGCTCTGTATTATTATTATTATTATTATTATTATTATTATTATTATTATCATCATCATCATCATCATCATCATCATCATTATTATTATTAGACCATTTAGGATTCACACAAAATCTGGTGCCCAACTTGGGGCATAAATTCATGAAAAAGCCACTTGTCTGTGACTTTGCAGCCACTGGCCCAGGCCCAGGCTCAGGCTCAAGCTCAGGCTCGGGCTTGGGCTCAGGCTCAGGCTCAGGCCTAGGCTCAGGCTCCAGGAAAGCTGGAATTAGCTGCTTCTACATGTTCCCCCATTCAGACACCCGTCTCTTTAGTTTCTTCCTTTTGGCTTTCTCTGGACCCCTTTTTGGGTTTCTGCCACACCATCATCTGAATTGTCATTGTTGGCAGATTTGGTGAGTGAATTGGGATTTTTTAAAGGGAGGAATTAGTTTAAAAAAGTTTTTTCCCACATTAAAACATGAGAAACATTTTTACAATGGAGGGAGTTTGGTCTCTATTTGATAATATGATAAGAATAGATGGTTTGAAATTGGAACAATTAAATGAGAGGATAATTAATGTTGATGGGATTTATGTAATGTCAATTATAAATATTATTTGATCATTTCTCTTTTATCATTAAAAATAGGTTAATATGAATGCCAAGATAAAGGTTTTTAAAGGAAAAACTAATTAATACAGATCATAGAGATATTCAGACCCAGACAGAGAAACTTAAGGGACAATCAATCTCTGCATTGCATTATAAGATTACAGAGAAACAGCCTAAGACTTTCAAACAGCCAACCTTAATTTATCCAGTAACCTTGTAGGAACTGCCAAATGATAGCAATCCCCCAGACTGTGTATGAGCTGAATGGACTCCTATGCAAATGTTAAATTTGAGGAGATACAAAGAAGCAGTAGTTCCACATGACATCCATTCATCTTTTGAGAAGCAGATGTTAAACTCAAGTTGAACTTAGAATTATCCCTCAAGAATGGAGAGATTTGGTTACATCAGTCTTAGAGGCTGGTCCCCAATTACAGTGGAGAACCTGATGGAAGGATGAGGCTAAGACCATTGAACAACAAAATAGAGCTAGAGGTATTAAAATATCCCAAGACCAACTTCTTGGAGAAGGTGATTATGTTGATATAAAAAGAGAATCTTTATATGATGACCACATCCTAGCTTTATGCCTAATGGCAGCCTTGAATGCTTGTGATAAAATTGAAAAAGTAGGATAGAAAATTATGTAATTTACAAAGGTATGCAGGCCACAAAATAAACCTTCATTGATTTCTTACAAAGACTGACTTCAACAGTAAATAGAAGGATACTAAATTCAGAAGCTAGACAAATAATAATTGAATCTCTGTCTTTTGAAAATGCTAATGCACAATGCAAAAGGGTAAATAGGCCATTAAAGGCAAGATCAGCAAGCACCCTTGGAGGAATAGATCCAAGACATAATCAATATTGAATCTCATGACCATGATGATGCTTGGATAGGAGAGATGATTTCCAGAGGTTTGAAGAAAAATAGTAATATCAAATGCTTCAGCTGTGGTAAACAAGGTCACCTAAAAAGGGACCATTAACAGGGCATTCCTAAAAACATTTTTTTTCAAGAAATAAT